GTTCTGTCAACATATCAACTCCACACATGTACCACAATTTTTTCCTTGCTTGAACAGCATTTTGATTTTTTGATAATAAAAAAGCAAAATATGTCGAAAATGATGCTTTTGATCTTCCATGTTTGATGGGACACAAAAAATAAACAACTGCACAAAATCAAACAAAATTTTTTACAAATAAGCCTTAAAATGCTAGCTGTCAAAATATATAATGATAATACGGTTTAAAATGAATATGGCGAAAAAAATATGATAATCCGTCTAGTGGTAAAAAAAACGAACTTACTTTCCGAACAACCTAATAAATTCAACTTCTGTATTACACAATTAGCGTAATTAATTAAAAATTTCTAGCTAACATCTTGCCATGTTATAAGAATATTTATAGAGATATTAGAAGAAAAAATAAGGCTTAAAAGCCTTTTTTTCCTTCTAACATCTCTATTTAAAAAAAAAATAATAGTATTAAAGTGTTTTCACAGTTATCATAGATAAATCTTTTCTTGCCTGTCTAATAATAATGGTCCATAGTTGATCTTTCTGACCAAACTATTCCTATTTTCTTTCAGAATTTTATACCTCTGTATTGCAGAAAGTATATTTATTTTCTATAAATCAATTTTCTTTACAGTTACATCTGGTAGAGATGTGGATGATTCCACCTTCCAATTGTGAAATGGAAGAAATCCAGAAACTATTTTTTAAAATCTTATTAAAAAAGATAAGTCCAAAAGAGCCTACATATGATGCCAATGCAACTGTAAAAGTTTGGAACTTAAGTCCAGCAATTCTCTCTAGATTTGCCTCCTCTTGTATTCCATTTCTTGAAATATATTGTGATCATCTTGTTTTCTGTGCACAAAAATTAGAATTACAATATATTAAAAATGACTTTCAATGGCTATCCAGGTAAAATTTCATACTTTACAGATTATTAAAAGATTATTTTAAAACATCATTTAACGGAACTTTAAAATTTTAGAGAGGGAGGAAGAGAATGTCTTAACTACAGTGACATTGTCACCCATTTTAAAACTCTGTGGAATAGCCAAGGTGAAGTGCATGAATATGTTTCAAGATTATTATTACAGCTTTCTGCCGGATCAATCTGTTCCATTTGGGAAGATGTAACAAATGAAATAAAGCAATTTGTGAAACTTTAATTATTGTTATTTTTAAAAATTTTTTAATAAAAAATATTGAAAGACAATGCGATTACTAAGAGGTAACTCGCTCCAAATCATCGGTAAACAGAATTTTTATATTATACCAAAAAATATCCCTAAAATCGAAGATTTTATATCCTGAGATTGCTGTTTTGCTTTGCGATTTTAAATCCATTTTATTTCAGAATCATAAATTTCTTCGAAAATATTCACAAATTTCATATATAGTAAAAACACTCAAAAATAAATTTAAAAATATAAGTTATGTCTTCCCTAACCCGTAATCAAGTGATTTAAAATTGCCGGAAGAGGTTGACAATTCCAGTTTTTTCTCTGTGCTTAGCCTCAGAAACTTGAAATTGTTTACATTTTTGAAAGAAATTAAGTAATGTACATTCATATCCTGTTTAAAATGCACACTTAACGAATACAATTTCAATACAAAATGGCGAAATACTTCGAAATTATAGGAATTGTGCCTAAATTCACTACACCCGTTGCAAATTTTTCCAAAATTCGAACACCGCAACAATAATTAACTATTGGTGAATTTACAAGAACTATTTTAAAAAATATCTTAAATTAAAAATTGACTCTTAAATATGAATTACATTCACCGCTTTAACGGCGAAAGACGGTGTTATCCAGCTTGTTCTATAATCGACTGTAATGATGCCAACTCGAATTTCCCTCTAAATTTAGAGGGAATTTGCGGGAGAAATAATTTGGCGGAAAATGTAAAGTCTATATAGGTTAGTGGAATTTTCAAAAGTCAGATAAATCATACGCGAGAATATGGCGGCGAGATCCGGAGCACGTTGCTTCATCACATGTTGCATTTGCTCGACTGTGCCCAGGCTGCTTGCTCCCTAAAGTAAAAATTTGTGTTTCTTTTTAAAAAGTATTGTACCTGGAGCAAAACTATTTAGCGGAACTCTATTGGTTTTAGGGTAATTTCGGGTCTGTTTAGGGGGTTTCTACTAGTGATGTTACGAATAGTGATTTTGCCGAATACCGAATATTCGACTACGCTCTCGGCCGAAGCACCGAATGTTCGGCAAAATATGTGTACGTTTTGCTGGTGACAGGTTACGACCTGTCTCATTGCGGTGGGTGCGGTAGCGACACCGCGAGCGCATTTGTTTTATTTGAGAATAGATCGTGTGACGACATGCATTATTTGTTCATTGTTACATCAAATTGTGTTACTAATAGTCCTTATTATTAAAGAATATCACTGTTTGTATCACTTTATATGAAAATTGTTCGCCTAGATCGGACGGCAGACCTATACAAGTGATGGTCAGCAAACGCAAAACAGTATCCAAGCCTGACAGAATTCGCTAAGATTTATCTATCGTCTCCCGGCAGTAGTGTATATAGTGAGAAGCTATTTTCAGAAGCAGGTATAGTTTATGAGGGAAAGAGCAATCGTTTGCTATCAACAAATGCTGAAAAAATTTTCATTCATCACAACTTACTACTGATAGATTTTAAGTATTAAATGTAATAATTTGTGATTAAAATAAATACGTTTTTTGAGTAATATATGCGTTTTTTTTCATGATTTGGTATTCGGTATTCAGCCGAATAATATGCAACATTCGGCCGAATACCGAATATTAAAAAAATAGCCGAATAGGCCGAATACCGAATAGTAGCCGAATATTCGTGGTATCTCTAGTTTTTACGACAGAATGTTGACAACTTTTTTCAGGGATTTAAAAGGTAAGTTTAGAGTGCGGAATAAGAAGTAGAGTTTTTCAATATTGGCTCTCTTCGCCCTGTGGGTACATTTTTTTAGACAGAATGGGAGCTGTTTAGATGGCGAAGGCGATATGATGTTAGCCTACAGCCATGGAGACAGTGGTATATCCACGATCTGAACTAGATGGGGGGCAATTCATATTAGTTTCGAGGAATTGGGGAGAAGAGTGAGATTTCACGACAGATGGCTCTAGTCTAATACTAAATTGATACATCTGTGCTGTGTGTCTGTGTGTCTGTGTGTCAATTACTACACTAAATTTTCTTCTAGGGAAGATCAGCTCTCCTCCCTGCCCCTCGCTAGGTACGCTCTTGCACGAAGACCTCAAAACCTGTACCTCTGGCGGGTGGAAAATTCTCAGGAATTTTTCGGAGGTAGTCTATTCCGGATATGTCGAGCCATTTCTTATCACCCGCCCACCTCATTGTGGGTATGTGGGCCAGGCCCCGACATATCCAAAACAGATCGTCTATAAAAATACATGGGATTGTCTGCCCTGGCACTCCAGAACGGCATGCCGATGTCTTACCGTTTCAAAGGATTGAAACTAAAGGAAAGAAATTATTTAATGAAAGGAAAGAAATTATTTAAAAATAAAGAGAATTTATAATTTTTTTTATCTTATCAAAATAGAAAATTTTAAATATTAATTTTTTTTATGCTCGACCAATTCCATACACCAGGTGGAGTTTTGTTTCGAAAGCATGTGCGAGTTACAGAATGAAATTGATATAATATTTCATACATTGTGAATTTTATATTTTTTTTTTAGTAAAAATGGAAGTAACAACGCGGTTATGTTTTCGCCAACTAAAGCATTTTAAACTGTTAAAACTTCAGCAGTTTACGTACAGACCAATATTTCCTTTAGCAATGCCAATTTATTTCCAGGTAAGAGCAAAGTGTCAGTTGAGCTAAACTTTTACTTGATTTTCAAAAGTGATAGTTTGCATTCGCAACGTATTAATTTAATCAAGTTTTAATTTTTAGTATTTCATAAACATTATTCTCAACTTCAAAAGATTTTTTAGAATATAATTATTCACTTTTCTTCTCTCTGGGTATTTTTCAATCATTTTTCCAATTAAAGTTTTACAAAAATTCAGATCTTTGTTTTTTAAGAAAATGAAAAATTAAAATAATTTATTAAATTTTTATCTGAGTCTATTAAAATACAAATACATTTGGTATTACTAATTTTTGAAATTATTTTCACTTTCTATATGCACTCAAACCTACCACCCGTCCGGTTTTCACCCAGAGAATCCGGGAATTGACTTGCTGTTCGGGTGAACTATTAATTTTGTCCGGGAATTTTGTAGAAATTGTGAAATTACGATGAAACAAAGTTATTGCAAATATTTTTACAAATTTACACTATTTTAACAGCAAAAGAACTCTCTCACTGAAATTCGTCTGCAATTCTGCCATGTTAGTCTGTTTATGCCAACACGTGGTGTGCAACCTGTTGACTTTTTTTTTTTGCATGTATAACCATACACGTCTCCAATATCCAATAGAGCTAAGTTATCTATACTTGTTCTTTCTTAATTTAGGGTTACTTACGTTACTCCTACGCAAGTCCCTAGTCCCTAACGGTAACTGATTTACAACCGGCATGCATGTTATTCTTCGCATTGTAAAATGACATTGCACATGCATCAGGAACTTCTGTTCGAACAGACCTGACCTGCTGTCCGGGTCAGCGATTTTGAAAAGGTGGCAACACTAATTCAAACCCACACATTTAAATTTTACTAAGCTACAGATTACTGTAAACTGGTGTTTTTTGACCTTTTTGTCATTGTGGATTGGTAAAATTATTGATAATTTTATGTGGATCGAGTAATTATGTGTGACTGTGATTTATGCTTTGTTACAGTATATAACAAAGTACATAAAGTAATTCTAGATTGCCATTTAAATGTCATTTGTAATCAACCGAGCTGGCTTTGGTACAGTTGGATGTTTTTCTGCAGACCGGTGCCGGTCCATGGACCGACGGTTGAAAAACGCTGCCATAAACGACTTATTTGAAATTGTAATTTTGTAAATTATTGCATTGCATTTCTTGTTGTCTATGTTTTTTGAAATATGAAAGTGTTTGAATTTGCTTATAAAGTTTGTTCAAAGCTGAGAATGGTTTAAGTTAGTATGAAAATATTTTGGTTCTTAAATACAATGTTTGTAACTANTCTTTTATTTAATATATAAAAATCGCTTTTATTGTATTTCATATTCAGTTTTTATCTATTCTATCATGATTTCATATTCGTCTTAGTCAATATGTAATATTATCCAAAAAAGATATTAGCTAAATCAGTTGACTAAAAATTGGAATCAGCTGAGGCATGATTCATTCAAGAAAATCCTATACATAAGATTATTATTATTAATACTTATTATAAATTTAGAATTAGTATAAAAATTTATTTTAGTAATACCAAATGATTTGAAAGATTTTTTTTGGTCTATATTTAGACTAATTAATAATCCAAAACAAACAGTTTGGCTAGAGGTAGGAAGTTAAGCCGCTATCTCATGTTAAATTAAATAATTATAAATAAATTTTTAATTTTAATTTAGAGAACTCTGGAAAAAAACAATCAGCCTGGAATAGGACTTGAATTTGCAACTCCTGCTTATTGTGCACTTGTTTTGCCTGTTATACTAATTAATGAATACAAAGAAGGGTTATGGAAGTGAAGATCAGTCAGAGGTCCAGGTAAATCAGAAATATAATTGCACAGTAAGTAGGAGTTGCAGATTCAAGTCCCACTCCAGGCTGATTCTTTTCTTCCAGAGCATTCTAAATTAAAGTTAAAAATTAATTTACATATAATTATTAAATTTATCATGATATGATGACTTAACTGCTTACTTCTAATCAAATTATTTGTTTTGGATTATTAATTAGCCTTAATACAGCCTAATAAAAATCTGGCAGATTGTTTGGTATTTATTATGTATTGGGCTATTGTATGTTTTTATATGGAAAATTTTTTCTTTTGATAGAAACCGAAACCAAGTATTCTGGGACCAATTAGATATGTATCAATGGAAATTCCAAAGAAGCAAATAGGAAGAGGAACGAAAAAAAATGCAGATAACGAACGAAAAGGAGTAATGTATAACTTTATAGCTAAACAAACTGATTTTTGTAAAATAAAAATAAATTATTTTAATTATATGTATGACATTTAACTTACTTTCTCTTCAGAATATGACAATTTTATAAGTTAATGATGTAATTAGAAAGTTAGGATTGGAACAGATGGATACATTCTGTACCAAAATAACTCTATCTAGAATGTGACAATACATGGGTTGAAATGAA